CCTCAGGTCAGGGTGGACCTAGGAACAACAGCAATTAAAAGGTGGTTTAATGCTCCTCAAAACCTCCAATCTGAGGCTTTGCTGCCAGGTGTAGAAATATTTAGACTAATCTTTGCAATATTCAACAAAATAATCTTTTTCAAGTCCACAATATACTTGAGCTAACAGTATCAATTTTCACTTTATAAATAGAAATAATGAATTATAAACACATAGTATTTTTAAATGCTAAGGTGTGCTATAAAAAAATTTAATATTCTTTTTCATATTTACATGCCATTTCAATATTTACTTTGAATATTCACTTCCTGGCTGTTTTATATTTACAATGTTCATATTTATTCATTATAGAAAGTGTCATGATTTTGGAGCTATAAGATTTGTAACCATCTGAAATGAATTATTTTCTCAGTAACCACACTGAATGTCTCTCTTTTGTCTGTTTCATTAACAATCTTATTTTTATATGACTCATGCCATAGAATCAAAGTAGTAAGATTCATTATTTTTGTACGTATCAGAAATAAACAAAAAAACTCACATACAAAATCTAATGTATAAATATTTTCTGATATTTCAAAATGGTCTCCTCTCTAAAGAAATTAGACTGGCAATACCAACATTGACTATAATAATGACTGAAGTTATTAAAATATTACATAAAATTTTTTCTAAATACATTGATTCGATTGTTAATATTTTGACATTAGATTTGGTTGGCATTAATCAGTTATTTTATAATTGTCAATTTTACAACCGCTTTGATCTGCTCTGCAAGGCAGTCATGTTGGTAATACCACTGATTCTAATAATTGAAGATATTAAAATAAAGCAGAAATACTTTGGTGCATATATTGATTCTGTTGTTCATATTTTTATATTGGGGATGGTGTGTATTAAAATGTTTTGATAGAAAACCGATAATTAACATTGGATTTTATAGTAAGCTATGTTCATAAAAAATACTTAAGTAGGTAATTTTCCCAATTTTGTATCATTAGTGAGAATTTAATCAGCATTTTAATTTTATTTTTTGTGTCTTATTTGGAGCAATTGGCCATGGTTAAGTGTAACTGACAAGCTTCTCAATAAACAATAAGGAAAGGAAGAAAAAATGGGGCAAAATAATATTAAGCAAGCAAAACTAGTCAAAGCAAGAATAGTAAGGCAAATAGTCCAAATAAGTAAGAATTGCGTTTTCACACAAAAAGGATACCATGAAATTGTTATTGCATGCTGGCTTCAAGACAAAAAATAAAAATATGGTGGAAGAGATCAAAAATCGATTCTTTTTGTCAGAAAGAAATCCCAGCATGTATCTGTGGATTTTTCTATAAATTTAGGGAAGGATATGCTCTTAGCTATCATTCTGGGAGAGACTGGAACCAACATCTTATTTTAATACATAAAATGCAAATTGTCTTCTCTATCTATAAAACACAAGGTGTGTGTGTGTGTGTATGCTATTTATGCATGTCCACATTTCTCAACCAATTTTCATTATCAAAATAGATCAAGACCAACTTTAATCCCCAGGCACCCAACCCCAGGTTTGGCAGAAAAATCGATAAAACTGAAGGTGGGTATGACTTTTTGCAAAAACCAAAACAGTTACATGCAAACAAAATTTTTCCTGGATGAAAAGATGATCTTTGCACTTAATGCAAAACATAGCTCATGTTACAAGGTTTATGTTGAGTGCTTGATAGTTTTCTTGTGACATTGGCTTCACACAAAAAATTGCAAAAAACTGTGAAAACAACAGGTTTTTCATACTACTTAAAATAACTTCATTTTTTTATCCAATTTTCTTCAAACATGTCACAAAAAATTTGCCATCATGCAAGAAATAAGATAGCATGGTTTTTGTCCTGCTCGCTTCCCCGCATATAACGAAAAACTGTTCAAAAAGCCCGTTGTTTTTTGGCCATGACTCTGTTTTTTTATCCAATGCTTACCAAATTTGCAAAGTAAATTACATATGACACCCAAATTGTCTTGCATGAATGTTTGGTTTAGATTATTTCAGTTAAGTGGGTGAAATCTGTGACAAACTAGGTCCAATATCAGCTTTTGCCACTTAGCCAATAGTTTCATAATATGATTCCATCCTAAATTGGCATTCGAACAACCTTTGATGCAAAGATTGTTTGAAAAGGATTATTGGAGGGTTAAATGGGGAAAATTCCCGAAAAACATCTTATTAACCTTCAGCTTTACAGTCAAGCAACAACCACATAAGAAGGTTTTATCGATGGAATTTCTTTATTATTAACAAACACTTGCAAAGGGGCATACCATAAAAAAGATGAGTGGGGAGAGTAGCTTAGTATACAAATGGGTGAGGCATGCAAGCGGGGATGCAGACAGATATTTCTAGACAGGGGGTGCAGGCATACAAGGGAATGCAGTTATACAATTGCAGCCATGTACACCCGGGCAACACCAGGTACTTCAGCTAGTAGTTTATATAACAAAACCTAAGTGGATATTATTTTCTATCACTGAATTATAGTAAATATATTTCGTAACAATTTTGCCTATCATCCAGTTGACACTCCTCACCAGTCTTTTGAACAGGAGTAGGGATTCATCTTGTTTCCTATTTAGGTTTGGTTTTCTGGTTCCTTAAATCTATTTCAACTCTATGCTTCTAAAGTTTCTACCTAAACCCTGAAACTTTACTGTTTGTTTTTTTTACCTCAACGGGAATAGATAGGTTCCCCTATCACACGGTTCATATTCATCCCCACTCTTTTGAACATTAATAGAGGTTCATCCCTTGTTTCCTGCTTGGACTAAAGTAAATATAGAGCAAATGTGAATATGAAGTGTTGTATATCATTTGATCTTCGGTAAATATTAAAATGATAAAAAGCCATTCTCTAACAGTTTTGCTTTGCTCCCTTTAATAAAACAGATTGACAAATGTCAATATATATTATTGTCTCTCACTGGGAATAAGCTTTTCTTTATAACCAAACAAACTACATGATGAGTGCAAATAGGAACTATTTCTTTCATTGACTCTCAAGCAGGGGGTACTTTCAGAGTTTCAGCGAAAATCTTTTAATATTTTCTTGTTTTTTAATTACATAATTTTGTTTATGGAATTGCAATGCCCTGGCATTCTACTGAACTTTGTGTTTAATGAAGTACACTCTGTTTAATTATTTAAAAATTAGGTATGAATTAAAACAAATTATTGTACTTGTATTCAAGTTTAAAAATCCATCAACAATTTCTACTGCAATTAAATTTATAAAACTTGTTTATAAAAATAATCGATGTAAATGTATATCTACTTTTATGGAAAAGAATGAAGATTTTCTGTAATATATACATATAATTTAGTCTGACTGAAAAGGTGCATTCTATCTTGCAAAGAAGGAGAATGAGATCCTGGCATTGTGAAGGACCATGACTATCAATAGCCACACCTGTAATTGATAATAGTGGTTAGTGCAATATCTGCAACTCACAAATTGGTAAATTTTCTAATTCATTGGTTTTCTGTTAATCTGTGGTGTCATATATTGTATGCTTTGATTTGTTTTGCTGACCTAAATCTGATGTTTTGTTTCATCATATGATAAAAACTTCATGCCTGTTTAGAATGTAGCAAGATTTTGTTTATTATAATATAAACAGCTAGTAATCTAAGTGTACTGAAGTTTTTAAGAGTCTATTATGTTGATACAATGCTGGCTAAATTTGGTGATCATATGGGAATCAGAATTCTACATTATGTGGTTCTAAGCCTTTTTCTTACTTGATAAGTATAAATAGGAACCATTTTTCATCTCCTTTAAGATAATGCTGCAATAATACATTAAATAAGTAACAGTTTTATCTTTAACATTCATTAAGAATCTAAACAAATTCAATATGCAGCATTTTATATTATTTTGAAAATGAGTGGAGAAAAAAAAGTATTTTCTGACCAGTCATTTTTTAGGTTTTGTACAAAGAGAATCTCGGTTGAAATAACATTTATATATTCTTTTCAGAATTTCCTTGCAGTGAGGTTTGTTTTATAAAGTAAGTGTTCTTAGAGCAGTGTGAAATGTGTGGGCAGACTTACTTTATAATGGTCAGCCTAATGTGTTTGTGAGTTTGTAGACAAAGGCTTAGTCAGCAGCTGATGATTATTCTCTTCTACTGCATGTGTGGACAAGGCCTTAGACATGCTGGCCATCATCTCTTCCATTGTGTGTATCTCAGAGAATAAGGTTATGGCATTGTGCAGGACCATGATTATCAATAGCCACACCTGTAATTGATAATAGTGGTTAGTGCAATCTCTGCAACTCAGAAATTGGTAAATTTTCTAATTCATTGGTTTTCTATGGTATGACATAATGTATGCTTTGATTTGATTTGTTGGCTGAAAAATCATGTTTCAACATACAATAATAACTGGAGTTCTACATCACATCTAAGCCTTTTTCTTACTTGATAAGTGTTAATAGGAACCATTTCTTTCATTCCTCTAAGATTCTGCTGGTTACTATTCAGGCAAGTACTATTTGAGTGAATGATATTCAAAGGTGTCTCACACCAGTATTGTTCAAGGACATTACTATAGTTATATCTGTGATAACAAAGTCTCTACTACAACGACCATTATGAAAGAGACTGAGTATTCATTGACATCACAAAAGTGGCAATGAGTGTTCATTGACATCAAAAGAAATTTTCAACATTCAAATATATATTATGCAAGATATATTAGTGTCTTTGGCAGGGGCTATACTACCGATTTGATGTGTGTTGTCACAGTGCTCATATTAAACGTTTGTGAAATTGGTGATAAAAGCTACGTCCCCTGGAAAATCTTTTTTGAATTTTGTTGTTTAACATGAAGCCTGTTTAATTTCATTTTCCTGAGATTTTCAGGTATTCATATTTTAAATTATGTCAATTGGGGGGGGGGGTCACCCTGTATATCATTGTTCCTTTGGTATAGATTTTACAGTTAAATGGCATACAATCATCACATTGAAGCACCAGTTTCCATATGATCATCAGAGTTAAGCAATGTCAAGCCTGGTCAGTACCTAGATGGGTAGCCACTTGGGAATACCAGGTGCTTTAAAGTTGAATGTGTGGGTGATGTAATGGATAATGGCTCAGAATTGGTAATTAGAGAGCCAAGTGCCAATCGTAGTCAGGATTGTTACATTCAAATTCCCTTGGGAAAGGTACATATCCACCTTTTCTCTCTCCGGCTATGGGTTAATTAGTAGAACTTGTATAAGTAAATCATTATTATCTCCAAAAAAAATTCTTACAAACTAAAAAATGTTTTCTGGCTTTCGATAACCCATAAAAGGTTGAAAAGCCATAAAAAATAAAATCAATCAATTCAAAGGTTATTCACTCATTCACATATATCCTTGAGAAACATGGGAATCTATCCCTTCTCCCCCAGCTATGAGTTAAATAATAGGGCTTGCATCTGGAAATATCATCCACCAACCTGAAAAAAACTTTTAATGTAATATTCACTCACAAAAAATGTATGACTCTTACACTCCAAAATATGTTCTGGCTTTAAATAAATGGTTGATGAGCCATAAAATCAATCAAACAATCCAATGGTCATGCCCCACTCTGAGAGGTTTGTACCAGTAATATAAGCTGACAGTATTCATTTCTTATAAGCTCTAAAGGGTGTTGGTCCATAAAAGCACTTTATAATACAATAAAACTAAATCTGTAATAGAAATTGAAAATTGAAACTTTTTCAAGACTTGCAAATTATATTGTAAACTTATAAATTCTATTTCAAAATGTAGGCATGGTGATTGCAATTTCCTTTTAGCAAATGATAATTTTCCTTTTTATACTAAATTTCACCCAATACAAGACTCAAAAGCCACTCAAAGTAGATTACTATTAAATATTTATGATGAATGAATGGAAGGGGAGGTGACATGAATGGAAGATTATGAGGATAAAGAGAATAGATAACAATTAACACTTGGTCATAATGTTCAGGGAAGCATCCACACGGGAGTTTATTCTATAGAGATGTGGAAATGGTCTCATGGTTAGTTGCTCAGAATGAGACATCAAAGTACCAAGTCTGAATTTCAAAATTTTGTTACATTAACTTACACTCGGGAACATATAAATTTATCCCTTCTTCTTCCCAGCCATGGATTATGAGAAAAATCATTATCTAAAAAAAAAAAAAAAATGTAATATAAATATACAAAAAAGAAAGAAAGAATTGGCCTTCCAATCCCAAATATGTTTTGGCTTTAAATAACCCACAAACGATACACTGTAAAAACTAAATCAGTCAGTCCACAAAGTACCAGTTTTTGTGAAAAAGATGTCTCTGAAACTTTCAACTTACACCAGGACTACAGAGGAAATATGGGTGATTCAACTCTGTAGAAGTGGCATGGTGTGTCTTAGTAGTAAATGTCTAAAATAGTGGAATTAAAGATATAAATCTCTCACCCGCAAGAAGACCAAATAAGGAAAAATTTAGTTTTTAAAATACTGCGATTTCTTGAACAAAAATCAATAAAAAATTTTAGTTTCAGGGTAATAGTAATTGGATCATGTTTCAGTTTTACTAAATAATTTTGAAAGAATGTAGATGACCAATATTTTGTGGAGGTACAGATTGCAGCAGAAATACCTCCCACATTTTAAAGGTTGACACAAAGACCAAGGTAACAGCTTTAAAAAATTTTAGGCAAACATGAACCTTTGTGTCCACAAAAAACAGAATGTCAAATTGGTGAATTGTTCAATGCAACATGATTCTCTTTACTCAAAAATATTTAAAAAAATACTTTCTGAAACTCTGAGAAAGATTCACTGATTTGAAGTTTAAGTAAACTTATTTGCTACAAATATTATTTAAAGCTTAAATAATCTGACTGAAACAAATATTAGTTTAAAATATCACAGGAAAGCATATTTAACAGTCTCTCAGACATGGGGGGACATAACTGTAAAACTTACTTGATGGATCGGGATATAATATATGTACCTTTTTCTATAATTTTTTTTAACTACCCAATATTCTTACAAAATTTAGGAAAATATTCTAATTTACATTATTCGGACCATTGTCTTCATCTTTGTCATCATATTTATTACATTTCGGCCGTTATACACTCCGGCCTTCTTCAGGTGGTTGAAATGTCGAACTGAACCCTTTATTTCGCTCACTGGGGGTAGACTGTTCTAGTTCCACATGCCATATCTAATGGATGTCAGTTATCAGTTATCTCCTGTTAATTCCCCACTCCAAGTTCTCCACTGCCTTAACCGTGTATTGAACTCATACTCTTTGGGTCCAGTCACTGGATCTAACTAACACCTTTATCTCCTGTGCCATGTGTCCTCAAGTTCAATACCTGATCAAGGTGGTGGAGAGCTTGGAGAGGGGAATTCACAGGCCGGAATGTACACTGGCCAAAGTGTTGTGATAAATATAGCAACAAAGATGAGGACAATGGTCCGATGTACATAATACCTCATCTCAGAAATATAGACAAAATATTCTAAGTAATCTAATATTTTATTGAAATTTAGGTTCTTTGGATTTATAATTCTACTTAAGAAAATTACAAATGCCATGTATCGACACCCATATTTACAAAAACTGGCACATTCAAAATTCTTTTTAAAGTATTGGCAGTTTTCCATTAATAATTGGTAAATATAGTTTTTACTTAATAATAACAACATCCCCTAACTGCTAACAATTAATACAAAATTTTAGAATACTTAAAACTTTATAAAATATTTTGATTAAAATAAAAAAAAAATGAAAATTCATGATTCATTGAAAAAAAAATTTCTGAAGACAATAGTGTCCATATATGTTATTCATAAAAGCAATTACAATCTTTTCTAATTAAATAATGTCTCAGTTTATTAGATTTTTTTATGATTCAGAGCAGTGTTTCTGTAACTAGGGGTCCTGTTTTACAAATTGATTATTTAAATTCTTCAAGGACATGTGCTTATAACTAAACATTAACCTCTACAAAAATGAATTTCTTGAAATTTCATAAATTTAAAAATAAGTCGGGGTTAATGTATGTAAAAAAGACTATTTTTACAAAAGAATTTCTAAAAAAAAAAAAAGAAACGTTTCTAATAATTTAATTCATTTATGAATAAGTCCTGAAAGTTTCATTAAAATTTGGCAATTATCTGGAAGAATTTCCAAATCAATGTGCTTTTCACCGAAAAAAGAACACTCAAATTTCCTATACTAATTTATGGTCACCTGTTGAAGCAAGAGAAACAAACTTTTCAACAAAAGTTTTGAAGGATACAAAATGGATTAAAAAATGTAATTTAATAATCAAAAAATCCTTTCGTCTTTTCTCTTTAAGTCATAACGAAGATTTTGACGATAAAACATTATTTTTAAGTTTGGAGCATTTTTTCATCATATGCTAATTTTTTAGCGAGGCTTTTGGTTTGGAGGTACCGACGGTAAAAAATGTAACACTGATAATGAAAATGAATAAAATATTGATAAGATTCGCATAGACACCACTCAGACTTAAAGAAAATTCGAAATGAGTAATCCGCGGTAAATTGTGAAATGTACGAATATAGAAATTTACAGAAAAAATCGGCTCCAAAATGGACCTAAAACTTAAGACTGACTTTCTTAACCTACTGTTGGTTAAAAAATTTATTTTGTTAATTTTTTGCTCGACAATTCAATAGGGAAAAATATTCAAATTTTGCAGTCATCTGATCCTTTATTTATCTTTCTTAAGAAAATCATTGTACATGCGTTAGAAAAGTCAGCGTCCTTTTATGGAGGCTCTCATTTGTCTAAAAAATAGAAAGGTGACAATTCATATTTCGCTGTCTCGGGAGACTTTTATTTATTTATTGCACAAGAATGGCAACTTCCTTGCTGTAGGAAAATACAAGATTTGTCACTAAGTGAACAATTATTAACAAATATTTTTCCGTCTTTCATCGTCATAGTTTCCATGATTTATCTCCCTTAAATTTCGTTCTTCAGAAAACATTAAGCAGCCATTTGCAAATGTCGGTTGGATCTTTTTTTGTTACTTTTTTTTTTGCTATAATTCAGATACAAAAAATTGTTCTATTTAAAATTTCACAGTTTCACTTTTTTTTTTTCTAATGTAACATTGTAATGATAACAAATCGGTCAAAAGAAGTAAGTTTAACGTTCTTTTAATTTCTTTACGAATTTGCGAAAAATTTTTATAAAGAAAGTTAAAAAAAAGTAATTAAAATTAAATACTTTAAAAAATTTTGCGATATCTTCTATTGAAGCAAAACATTTCTTCGAATCAAGCAAAGCCTTTAAAAAAAATTTTTTAATCATTTTTCGATCTTCTTAATTCGAAACTTTTTTTTATTATTTTTTTTAGTTTTCAATTTATTTTAATTATAAATTAATTTTCAGTTTTTCACGTATTTCACCATTTTTAATATGACTTTTTTCTTCTTTTTAATTGCCAATTTTTTGTTTTCGTTTTTTTTTTTTTTTTTTTTTTTCATAGCCTTGCTTGGACAGTCCCTTGTAAAGAGTTCTGACTGAAAATAAAATTTGTTTCTTTCGTTAATTATCATTTCCACCGTATTATTTTTGCGTAATTAAACAATTATCACAATCATTGTATTATTTACTAATATTTTGACAAAAATATTCAGTTTCACTTTAGAATAAAGTTTAGTCATTTGAAAGAAGGAAAAGTCAAATTATTTGTAATCTGTACGTGAAATAACAGATACTAATTTTTGTTTTCACCATTTTATTGAGTTCTGTAATAAAATACAGGAAAATTTTTTTCTCAAAATCTCTGTTATAATACAATATAAGTCTGTTGAGATTCAGGAAACCCCTACCCCATTACTCTCCCAACTACTAAGAGAGTAATAGGGAGAGAAGGGGAAAGACACACAAGATGACAAGATCAGAAAGCACAGCAATTTGAGGAACAAAATACCCAGGGATCCAACTTCACAAGACACCATGTCTTCCCAACGGCTAACTGCTGTTTTCCCCTAGCTTTTATTGGCATGAGGCATCTTATAAAGACCCGGATCTTGACCAGTTG